GTAATAGACGCGCCCTGTAGCTTCGAGAAGGCCGTGAAGATTGGCGTTGGTGGAGACTGTCTTGGCGTTGCAGGTGCAGAGTATGAGACAATTTCCATGGTGAGTCGTTGACGTGTCCCTTTGGTCCGAAATCTGTGGCGTCCTGACACTGGTCTTGATGACATCCGACGCTGTTGATGTGATCCAGTGTGCAGGCTTTTTTTTCTCTTACATGCTGTACGAGGAATAAAGAACTTTTTTAAACGTCAGCAGAGCCTGCCAGCTTTCACCACAGGCAATCGCTGGCCTTATATGGAACAGGGAACCCACCTAGCGACTGAATTAGCTAGACGATGGTGCTTCTGGCGTGGCCTACTCTTACGGCATACGGGGAACCGGAAACGTCGAACTCCTTCTCAGCTTGGGAGACTCTGCTGGAGGAAAACCTCCGCTGTACTTTGCACTTCTACACCCAGAGTCACTCCCAGCTACGTCGAGACGATAGACCATAACAATATGGGCTTAAATGTCAAAAGTTATCCAATTACCACTATAGTTTTGAAATGTGCGCAATTATATAACTCAGTTTGCAATGTGTTTCTTCAGTGTATGCGTCCATCCAAACCGAGTTGTGGTAGCAAGCGGACAGTCAAGTCGGCATCAGCGAGAACGACATCCAGACCTTGAGCTGCGTGACCCGTATGCCAGTATCCTTGATCTTGAAGCGGACCTGGAAAATTCTCTTACTGAGGTAACGTTAAAACAATAAGATGGCTTATCTACACCCAATCGACACATCGATATCTCAGGCACACGTGCGCATTTGGGACAGCGTAACTTTGTCAACTTTAAAAATTTTGTCGGGCTCCAAGGCAATGTTTGAAAAAGCAGTATCATGTTTAGCATTTTCTGCAGTAGATGGTGAGATTTAGCTCCTCCTGCAATACATGAATTCATTTTCAACATCAGGTGGTACTTTTTTGGCATGCACCGACGACTCTTATCAACACACACTTTCAATATGGAGATGGGGGAACGAAGCAAAGGCAGCAGAAGCTAAAGTGAGTATGAATTCCAATAAGTACCTTTTGCATCATGATACAGCACTCACATGCTAACGCCAACAGCGAAAGCAAATGTTGTGGGCCAGCACGAACTTTATACTGCAAATGGATAAATTATTTTTAACGATTTAAATAGAATATCGATATGTATGCAAGAGGGCGATTATTAAAACCATCCTCTTGAGCTTATTTGCTTATTGAGTAGTATCCCTATTTGCCTTAGCTGAATATATGTTATAGGAAAAGTTCGCGTTGTTCTTTTTTGAACTCGAAGGCTTACGAAACTGGAAGTTTTGGCAACCCATTACCGTTTGAGAAAAACCTTACAAATTAGTTTACCTGACTTACCTACCAATCGCGGCAGTGCCATAGGAAGTGATTAGATTTGTAAGTTTGAGGAAGAAAAAACCTCGAATGGCTGCTTGATGGAAAAATGCTGTAACGCCACTTCGCAGGTAACCGGATATGCTTATTAAGTAGTTCATCTCCAAAGCTAAGACGTGATCCCACAGTAAGTGTCCTATGTTAGAAAATGGACATGATTTTCGTAAACAGCATAGCCAATTACTAGGTAATGCTCAGCGAATTCCAAATTCTCTACCTTCTAACAAAATTGAGCTGCCGTTTAAGCTTTTCTAATCCTTTGAAAATACAGCATTCACTCCTATCTAAAAAAATACTGGGTAAACCATTTCCAGCTCCTTGGAGAGGCAGACTGTACTTTAAAGTGATATGCAATGTGATGCCAAAACTAGTTGCTTAGAACTTTTTTAAAGTTTGAAAGAAACTGGCAGGGACTTACAGTAAGTGCGCTAATTCTTCGACAGAACGCGAAAAACACGCGAAATCGCGTGTTTTTCGTGTCTTTGTAACAAGAGTGTTTTAATAGCTAACTCACAGGTTTTTGCATCAATAGATTCGCAAATGAAAGCTCTAGCTAAAAATTCCAATATTATCTCGATTGAATTAC